AATCGACGGCGGTGACGGAGGAGGAGGAGCCTGAGCCTGAGCAAGTGATGCCTGTCCAACTGCAGGGAGTTGGGTCCCTAGGATTCCAGTCTTTGAGAGAGTCGAAAGGATCATCAAGGCCTTTCTTGGCTTCAAGAAGGTAGAGGCCATCTTGGGTCAAGGAAAGAGATTGAGTGAAGAGGAGAGTGAAGAGAAGTAATGGGAGCACCATGTCTCTCTGAGCTCAAAGGAAGAGAGTGCAGAATGAGAAGAAGCAGCTTGGATGGGTATTTGTTATTTGGGGTGGTGAATCTTGTGATTAGAAAATATTTTCATGATTTGGTGTTTGTGCTTATTATTATTATTATTATTTTGGAATATGTTTTGGGTGGGTAATGTACGGTTAATGTTAGATACACCAAAAGATGGAGGCAGGTATTGTTTTTTGTAGAAGTTGCAATTTATTTTTTTGGTAAGGAGGTTGAAACGTGAAACCAATATATATGGAATATGCTTTGTTATAGAATTCTGGGCAATTGGCAAGTTTCCAATTGTATAGCCTTTTAGAATCTTAATTAGTTTGCAGTGGGTGGCCGGTTGTAGCTGTACCTAATGAATTAAGATGGAAAAAAAAGAACTGTGAAGTTAAAACTCTTCATTCAGTGATCCAGAAAATAATATGTACATAATAAATGAATGAAAACTTCTAACAAGTTGCAATTTTATTAAGGACTAGTTTTTATGCACGTGTATTGTACCTGGTTTAATATTATGGTTATTTATTTTTAGTTTGTTTTCTTACTAAAATTTATTTTTCGATTTCAATTTGATAGTTTTTGCTTACTTATGTCTTTAAATTTTAGCATTGCTATTATTTATCTTCTTTAATGTTCGTATGGATGAGCTACACTAAATTTAAAGTTTCATGTTTATGACTAAATTGACATGAAACCAATGTGAAACGAATTTGAATATTCACGTTATTTGGACCGACATGAAATAAAGGTTTATCTAAGGAAGTATAGTATTGCAAAAGTGAAAAACACTTGAAAGAACTAGCGTTATAAAAGCAAGAGGAATACTTAAAGCCAATAAGCCTAGAAGATTGATTAGAAGTGGGCAAAAGAGAATATAGATTTTATTCCTAATCATTGATAGACTTCATTAAAAATCATAAACTAAATATTAATGCTAACTCTAATATATATTTATACGATGAAAGCATCCACAAAATAAGTATATAAAAATACTAAAAAATATCATGAATATCTCTTCCAACTATTCTTAATTTTACTCAAAAAATTAGGGTATTCTATAAAATATTTGAAAAATATTATTTTATATTCTTTCTATTTTATTTTTTATTGAGCCAAGATCAATCGTTCTTTACTTTTATCTTTCTCTAGGATAATTCTGGATTAGTATTTTCATCATCAATGTCGATTGCGAGATTAGGCTGGACCTGGATTTCTTATGCTATTATCTTTCTCTGGGCTCATTCATCTTTTATCTTCTCATCTAACTTCACAAGTAATTTGAATGTCTTTCTGC